AGCCAAAAAATCCCAGCCCACCCTAGCTCCCAGCGCTTGTGAGCACAAGTAACGAACTCTGGCATTGCAAGGAGTCCTCGATAGGGAAAGCTAATCTCTCCCAGTCCGGCTCCCCCGGCTCTGGAAACTGCGTTGATAGCCCCCCAGGGAAAAACTAAGGATGTTCAGGATTGGCTAACTTGTACTCGCCATCTTTCCGCCCTTCTGAGAGCTCACTCGAAGGGTCGGGACTCAGGGTACAAACCCCTCTTGGCAGGCATGTCATCCTGTCCTTTAAGCAGAGAGTAGACGCGCCCTCTCCTTGCAAGCAGGGTGATTTACTGGGAACTGGGGGCAGGCCCGCTGCGCAGGCAAACTTTTCCTCTTGCATTCTCTGGGAACAGCGCACCCCCCGTCCCCCGCCCCGCCGCGGCCTCGCCAACCCCCTCACCCCCATTCACCTGCCGCAGCAAGAGTTTGGGGAGGAGACCAATTGTCCTCTTTGGCCACTTGTGAGGTCGAAGTGTGGATGGGATGTAGCCTATGGCCCCACAGCAACACCTACCCTAAACTTTAGGGCTTTTGGGTCGCCGTAAAGTTCAAGCTTCTTAGAAGCAACAAAGACTTTCTAAAGATCTCCACCCTTTCACCCCTCCCCTTACTTCACTTTTCTCTGGCTACACGCATTCGACTCCCTTTCTTTCGAAGGCTTAGGGATGAGTTTAAATCATTGTGCTCCCATTTCTTGATAACTGCCTGCTTTGAGCTTTTGTTCTCTTAAAGTAGGATTGCACACTGAAAGAGGGCTGAAGATGAACAGTTTGACCCTTCAGGACAGTTCACGCAGTGGACAGGAGCGGCCCTCGGTCACCATCCTCACTGATGCTATTCACGCTCTCCCCTCCCCCTTCGCATAACATTTCAGCCTCGTTTCATCTGGACAATCTTTTAGACCACACAAGTGCCTCTTGAATTTATTTAAGTTAAAAGAGTGCTAGAAGAGTCCAGCTAAGGATGTTCCGCGTTGGTAACGTCTTCGCAAATCTGAGTACAAATCGAAATTTCTTTCTTTCAGCAAAACCCAACAAAATGTTGAACAAATAGAATTCTGCAACTGTGTGTGAATGGCCGGCTTCTGAATTTCACTAGCCTTGTTAGACTCTTCTTGGGGCTGTTTCTTTTCTTTTTTAAAAATAATATTCTTCATAGTGGGAAATATTTCCAGAAGTGTTCTATTACTGAATGCTTCTCTCAAAAGCTATAACACAAACATACAACCAAAATTCTTAGAATTCCAAGATGATCTAAAGGGTAATTTTTTGGAAACTCTTGTAGTTTGCACAGTAATCTAACATACACCACAGCATAGACCCCAAGAAGCCCTTATTTCAAAGATAAAATTCTGTAATGCCCATGATATCTTTATATTTACATGGATTAGAGGTTGGCTGATGTCAATGTTTGAACATGTGTACAACCTTAAGTTTCTTGGCACAATTTTCCCTTTAGAAGGAAATTTCTGTAATCATAAATGTGAAATCTAACAATATTTTATTTTTACTAAATATCTGCATAGGACACACTTAAATATGCATTATTAACTTCTCGTAGACAGTATAGGAAGTTTGGAGTTTGACAATAGAAAGCATGTACCCTTTTGGTGCATCATAAAAACATAAAATCGTGGGAGAACATAAAAACTGGGGGGTCATACACCCAAATGCTGTTAACAATCAACTAAAGAAATCCATTGTGTTTCACTCACACTAAGCACTAGACCCAGCTTGATCTCCGTGTCTGTTCAGTTATACAAGACTGGTCAGTCTTTCCTTTAAGCCTCTTCTTAACTGGTTTCTGATTCTGTTCTTCCCCCCAATATCTTTTCATCAGATCAAACCAGCACTTCTAGCCAAACTAAAATATTAAAACAACTGTCCAAGGAGGTACCTTTCTACTGAAACGAAAATAAACCTTTCTTTGTTTTCTGTTACATTGGCATCCACTGCAGTCTTGAAGGCTTTCTTTTACGGGGACTGTGAAGAATATCTACATGTTTGTTTGGGATCAGTGAGCATCACCTGGAAAATAATGCTAAGGTGTACATGCAACCACGTTAAGCACTTCTGGTAACTTTTACTATGGACACATCTTCTGCTTGATCCAACTCTTTCATGAAATTCTGATTCTGTAGGTTCATGATTTAGAACCAGAGACCCAAAGAAGTGCCAGAGAGGCAAATACTGTATGTTGGAGACTGAACGTGTCTCTTGCTTCTTGATAATTTTTTGCACTTCTCACAAATGAAATCAAGCTCCTCGGAAAACATGGAGGAGGTAACCTGGAGGAAATAATGCTTTTAAATTTAGGGAACTTGTTTTTCAAAAGGAAGGAGAGGCAAAACACAAATATGAGTGAGGAAAGTGAAAATCGTGGCAGTTTTAAAATCATTTTGAGACAGAAGGAAGTCTGGAGTTTGTAGAGCTGAGCTGGGCAAAAGTCTCTTTCATGGGATTCTAATTTTCATTTTCTTTACTTTGTGCTTTCCAATCCTGCTTACCCCTGCAGAAAATATCAAACAAATTAAAACCATGCCAAAACACTGACAACCACTTTCATCATGCCCTTTTCTCAAATAAACTTGTTTCCAATTCCTACAGACTGAATGAGACAGAGACCCGCAGACAATTATCTTTTTCTCGCCACTTTTCAACGCCCAACATTCCAAATGTTCCTTGCTTAAACTCAATTTGCAAAAGGGATCTTAAGGCAGTCCTCTCCCATCGACCAGAGTCCAGATCCATCGCTACTACTCAAGCATAGTCTACTGCCCGGCCCAGCACACACTTCTGGGGACTCTGCTTCTGTCTCTAAGAAAAGTCAGCCACGTCGACAGGAGGGTGGGCATGAGCGCAGGGAGGAGGAGTGAGGGAGGGCTGACAAGCAATGTAGAACAAGTTTCCTCCGAAGCCCAGTCACCGTCAGTTCTATTTTCCCGTTGAAAAGCCGGGAGTATGGGAAGGACGGGCCCCCTGTCCCTACAACGCCCCCCAGCGCGGAGCAGAGGTCACGGAAATGTCAGCGCTGCCCAGGCGCCCGCGGAAGCGGCAGGTCGGCCGCTCCTCCCACTGCGCTCGCTGCCACAGTCGCGGGGAGTCACCTGGTTGTCTGGCCCTGCGGTTAACAGGGGTTAACCCCCCCAAAAAACAAAACAAAAAAAAAAAAAACAAAACCTGTGTCAGTTCCCGGAGACCCAGTTTGTCACAGGTAAAATGAGGAGAGTCCTTTCAGCTCTAACACGTGAGCGCTTTTATTCTCACGTCCTCTTAAAGCCCATCAACCGCTCCCACACTCGATCTCTCTCCTTCTACGAGACGCCCTCGATGAACCCGCCACCGTCCTCTTCACCCTCGCACTCTAGTCTCTCTGGAACCTACGTGCCCACCACGTGCCCACAACTCGCCACCCCTACTACATATTCCCCCCTTAACCAAATGACTGCGTTTTAAAAACCATTTCCTATTTGATACAGCTCCTAAGAGGCTTTGCCCTGAGGCACCCGGCAGCACCAGAAGGTAGCTGCTTTCCCCGGCATTCTGACCCTTATTAACTAATTCCTCGGATCCCGAGGTCCGGGAGCTGAAAGGCCGGGCAGCGCCTGGTACTGCGCGAGAGCGCACGCCAGGGCGGGGGTGGGGGGCGGGGGGTGCGGTCCCAAGGACGGGGGCGGGGGCGGTAGCCTGGGTCTCCCCAACGGCCCCCGGCGCCCCGGCCCCTAATGAGCGGCTGAAAGGGAGCCGGCTCCGGTGCGCGTGGCTCGCAGGCCTCCCGGAGTCCGGGGCGCCGTGATTGGCCAGCTGCGCCTCGCGACCTCCATTCATTAATAAATTAGCGGCACGCTCCAGCCGAGCGCGAGCCACCAATCACAATGGGCAGCGGCGGCGACAACAGCCGCAGCTTGAGCTGAAGCCGCCACCGCGGCTTCAGCCGCTCCGACCGCAGCCTCGAGCTCCAACAGGAGCTTTAGAACCATTTTATGCTGATTAGATAAAGGGGGAAAAGAGGCGGGGGCGATGGGAGGAGGAGGATGGATGGCAGGGCCGGGGAGGGGGGAAGTGGGTGAAGAAAGAGAAAGAAATGAATGATGATAATGCAATGAAAAGAATAAGCAGGGGGAGGGAAAAGCGGGGGAGAAGGGGGGGCCGCACCAGGGGGGGGGGGGGGCGGCGGCCGGGGGTGGGGGGGGGAGCTGGGGGCCCCGGGGGCAGATCTGATTGTTTTCTTGGTGGTATATAAGGGGTTTTAAGGAGAGTCGTGTGCCAGACACGCAGCCACTGAACCACAAGCAGCTTCGCTTTAACTGGAGTGCCCGGGAGTCGCGTGCCAGGAGCCGCACGGCCGAGGACTGACTGACAGACAGACACGCACCACCACCACAACACACGAGATCCAGGCGGATCGCCGCGGCCGCCGGGGCTCTTGGCAAACTCGTCCGTCGGATCGGTCCCCCGTGGAGCCGCACCGGAGCCGCTGTTTTCAAGCGAGGAGGAGGACGCAGCGCTGCGCTCCCGGCGGCGCGGAGAATCGCTTCAGCACACGCCAAAGTACTAGCGACCCTGAGATTCATTTAGGGAGCAAACTACGTAAGTATCCTCTCTGGGGCTTCCAGCTTGCACGGGTGTTTCCGGCACCCGGTTCCACCACGTCCGAATGCCCTTTGCTCTCGTAGAATCTTTGTCCCGGGGGTCGCTGTCCCTTTCCGGACTTCTACACATCCCTGAGGTCGGCCCGCCGAGTGCGGGGGGGCCCGGTTGGCTGGCGGCGGGATCACAACGAGGGGCTTCTCAGGAGCTTGGAGAGCACTGGCGGGGTTTTCTTCCTAACTACGTTCTTCCTTGGCGCGGTTCCGAACCAGTCCGCGCGGGTGCGCGCAGGAGTACTTCCCACTGACACCGAGAACGTGCCTTGGCCTCTGTATTTACAGCTCATTTGGTTCTTTCTCCCTCCCCGCTCTATTCGGTAGGATGTTTGTCAAATCCGAGACCTTGGAGTTGAAGGAGGAAGAGGACGTGCTGGTGCTGCTCGGCTCGGCCTCCCCCGCCTCTGCTGCCCTCACCCCGTTGTCGTCCAGCGCGGACGAGGAGGAAGAGGAGGAGCTGGGCGCGTCGGGCGCGGCGCGCCGGCCGCGCGGGGCCGAGGGCGGGCCGGGTGGGCTCGGCGGCTCTCCGGCCGGAGCCGAGGGCTGCCGGCCCGCGCGGCTGCTGGGTCTGGTGCATGAGTGCAAGCGGCGCCCCTCCAGGGCGCGAGCCGTTTCCCGCGGCGCCAAGACGGCCGAGACGGTGCAGCGCATCAAGAAGACCCGTAGACTGAAGGCTAACAACCGTGAGCGCAACCGCATGCACAACCTCAATGCCGCGCTGGACGCGCTGCGCGAGGTCCTCCCCACGTTTCCCGAGGATGCCAAGCTCACCAAGATCGAGACCCTGCGCTTCGCCCACAATTACATCTGGGCGCTCACCGAGACCCTGCGCCTGGCGGACCATTGCGGGGGTGGCGGCGGAGGCCTGCCGGGGGCGCTCTTTTCCGAGACTGTGTTGCTGAGCCCGGGAGGCGCTAGCGCCTCCCTGAGCAGCAGCGGAGACAGCCCGTCGCCTGCCTCCACCTGGAGCTGCACCAACAGCCCGGCGCCGTCCTCTTCGGCGTCCTCCAACTCCACCTCCCCCTACAGCTGCACTTTATCTCCTGCCAGCCCGGCGGGTTCAGACATGGACTATTGGCAGCCCCCACCTCCCGACAAGCACCGCTACGCACCTCACATCCCCATAGTCAGGGACTGTATCTAGAACGGCCCTCCTTGCTACCCGCTCCAGGCCTTAGTAGGTTCCCGTTCTTGTCCCTGACCAAGCCCTCCTCCCACCCCTCTCCTGTCCCCACTTCTATATGCCCCGGAAACCATCTCACTTTACGGGGCAGATGTAGGCATTCTGAATCCTGGGTTGTTTGCTGCATTCCTTGGCTAAGGGTTTCCTTCCTTCAGACGGTCTCTAATTTATTGACGGTGTGATGGAGCTTATTGTCAAAGAGGATGGTAGAATTTGGGGGGGGGCGTTTCTACGGCTAGAAAGATGCTGGAAAGCGACGAAAGTGGCATGTCTAAAGAGTTTGCAGAGCGGACTGACGCTCCTCCCCCCTCTCTCTAACACCAGAGGGACTCGGAGCAGTTCGTGTGAATCTCCCAGGGGGAATGCAACTGGTTCCTCTGATCTCTTCACCTTTGCTTCTACATAGAGATGTTAATGTCGAGTAGAAACAAATGTATCTTAGCATCTGAATGATTTTACCGGTAATAATATTATCCACAGATTTGCAATGGCTGGCATCTGCTTTATTCCCATTGCTGTCTGAGGGCTGTGGGAATTTCACCTGTCAAACCAAACTTTCCCTCTCTGATGTGCACTTTGTTCTGTTTCCCAGATTCGTCACAATGCCTATTGTCCCGTTCTTCTCTTTCCTTTTTCTTCTCCATTTTGCCATCTGTCTCTTATGATTTATAAGGGGAAAAAAGTTGTTTTGTTAGAGGGCCAGGTTAGAAGTCATTGTATAATTTGTAGGCTTTGTAATGATTGAATGCAAGCGTGGAAATTTAGGCTGAACTCTCTATCAAAAGGAAAAATGTGGAGGAAAAGGGAAAAATCGGGAGGGAGGATTGTTTCATGCATTATTTATCTCGACCTTTTAGGGGAGAAGGAACTCCCCCATTCTTTCAAGAGATTAAAAATAAATCAACAGACTGAAAACCTGAGCAGACACGGAGCATTATCAGGATCAGCCACACACGTGTTCCCTTCTATTTATTATAAAGAAAATTTTCATGGGAAAAGTATGTATTTTTTGTATATTTTACAGAGTTTATTCTAGTATGTATTTACACCTTGAACAAAAATTGTTCTTGTGATTAAACTATAAATAAAATATATAATTTTCATAATTTTTGTGTGCTGTATTCTAACTTTTCCCTGCTTTTGTGGTTTTTAGAAGAATGTGTTGTGCTTTTCTGAAATTCTCCCTGTAGCAGATTGAGATAGAGTAGTTGTATTTTTCATCAGTGTTTGTGTGTAGAATTTCACTGACATATAAAATCTAAGAGATCACAAGAAGCTGAGTCATATTTGAGACACTAATACTGACATCAGAGTTAACTGCATACAAACAAAACTTGATTTTTAAGAGTGAACAAGATCAGTAAAAAAAGGGGGGATAGAATTAGAAGATAATTAAATCATGATAAGTTCCAAAGTTCAGAAACGTTGATGTAAAAAAAAAAAAAATAGTGGAGCTGAAGTTTCTTGTTAGAATGTGTAGAAATGTGTTCTTACACTTAGAGTTTCAATTATCACCTGTAAATTGTAGGGACTGGACAGTGATTTTCAAGGTCCCTTCCAACTCTAACATCTATGATGTATTTATAATTCATTATTGGAAGCTGATTTTGTATTAGCCATTTTAACAAACTTGTTGGTTTTAAAAGCAAACTCCTGGAGAATATATATTCAGAGTGAGCTGGGATAAAATTGTGTCTGTGGGAAATAGCTAAGCTTTCCATTTTTGTTAAAATAATCACATAGTCAAAACTTCTTCAGAGGGAAAGCAAAAGTGGTTTCCTAATCTCCCAAACACATAGCTCTACAACTTGTACTTCAATTTCCAAAGCAGAAATGAATAGCACCATGGGTCAAAGATGACCAAGTGAAGGTTGATCACATCCTAGGGTTAAGCCCCTTCCTTGGTGGAGGGTGTCCACTGGAGGACACAAGCTTTAAAAAAAAAAAAATCAGCTTAGCAAAGAAATGTTGGTTGCTCATGCCTCCCTGCAGCCTCCCCCTCCGCCCCGCACCCCCATGAACTTCATATTTGCTTCTGGTTTGGGCTAAATCTTCCACTCCTCTGCATTAAGCAATGATAATTTCTCCTGAGATAGCTATCTGAAACTACTCCTCTTCTTTATCCAAGTACAAAATATTAAGTGTTTAATATCTTAATAACCTTTTATTTTTAATCAAAGGAAGAACCAAGCCAAGGGTTTGCTTTGTTTTGATTTCATAGCTGGATATAAAAGAGACTTGTTGGAAAACTCTTCTAATTTAAAGATCTTGTTATTCCTAGCCTCTCTTGATGATGTGATATGAGGAGGCAATGCTATATCTTTAATATTCACATCTATGTTTCTAATATTTAAAAAGCTAAGCCAGGAAGTAAGACAATTTTAGTAGGGTAGAACGTCAGTTTTAATACCAAATAATTGTTCTAGTGATGATGCTTATAACGATATATGGTGCTTCTTTTGGAAATTTGCCAAAGAAACATGTCATGGCACAGGTCCGTAGAGACAAACCCTCAGGGGCAGTTAGGCTCCCAAGACTATGGGAAACCTCAATTGGTGGGGTGATCCCGTAAACGGGTGACCCTAATAGTTTAGTTGGAGAGGCATGGATGGCGAGACAGTCCAGTAAGCGCAGCTTTGAGTAAGCGCAGTACAGCCAACAACTGAGCCCTCTCTTTAGCTGAATCGAGCAGCCACCCGTACACAGGACCCGAGACACGTTTAGCAGGAGCTTGTGGGTCCCCACACACATCCGCAGCATGTCATACACGGGGGCAATTCCGTCTACCATTTGTAACCTACTCAGGCTCTCCCTTCCTCCTGTAGAGCAGACCTTATTTTACACTAAATCGGTGCAATGATTTTTGATGGCGCCCAGTCTCTTTTCGCGGTTACGGATGATCTTTCTGCCTCATTTCGCGCTGGATGTCGCGCAGCAGCTTCCACAGCCCGTGGGCTGAGGCCCAGCCGTCCTTTCCCCTCCTCTGTAAGAATGAGAATTACAGGGTTGAGGCCGCTGCTTCTGCAGTGGGGATTAGAGTCGCTCTTGTATTTTTTCCATTTCCTCTCCACGTTGTGACCACGACAGGAAGAGCTCGGTCTGCACGGAGCGGGCTGGTGGGCGGCTGAGCAGCCATTCCCTCTCTGGCAGCTCTCTGGTGAAGAACGTTTCAAACGAGGCCAAGGAGACGTTCTTCCGATGACAGCCCCACACCGCCAGAGTTGCTAGATCTTTCCAGCGCCTGCGAGTGCGCTGCGCGTGTTTACCTAAGGGCTGAGAGGTGCGACCGTCGGTCCCGTCCTCTTTGGAAACTTCGCTTCGACGCCGTCAGGGTTCCCGCACTGGTTGATTTATTGGTTCTGAACTGCCCCAGGCCTTGTTACCGGACTAATTTCTCCTTCACCAGATTTTAAATAAATCCAGCTGAGGGCCAATAAGGAGGGGGAAAAAAGCAGCAGAAAGACGGGCTGCTAACTGCTGGGCCCACCGCGGGACCCCGGCCCAGGCTCAGCAGAGGCGGGAGTGGGGAGCAGGGCTAAGGAGCCCGGAGTCCGGCCGCACCTGAGCAGGGGTCGGGTGGGCGCCCTCCGGGGCCGAGCCTTGCAGGCCGGGCTGAGGCGAGGACAGCAGGCGGCCTTGTCCCGCAGAGAGCGAGGTTCCAGTCGGTCCTTCCCTGAGTTTAGCCCGATTACGCATGAAGGACATCTGGGCCCAAGGCCCGCTGTAGCTGCGCACACCAGCCGGTGCAGGGGGCAGGGGCCCCTGGCTGCGGCGGGCCAGGCCTGCGGGAGAGGCTGGGAGCTGTGAGCCCCCCACCCGCCTCGCCCTCCGCTTGCAGTTCGCCGGGTGCACCCCCTGCATTGCACAGCCTTGGGCAGGTTGTGACTTCTGGGCACCGACACCTGGAACCCGTTAAAAGCGCCTCCTCCTCATGCTCAGCCTCCCCCTGCCCCCCGCGCCCCCTCAGCTCTAGGGCTCCCAGGCGAGCTTTGAATGTATTAATTAAATAAAGCAGGCAGCCCTTGAATCGAACCGATGCAGGGCGCTCCCGGGAGCGTGAAAGTCCCGGCCTCCGAATCCGCAAAAGAAAATGTGTGAAAAGAGAATTAGTGAAATTAGGCTAGACCAATAAAACGTGAGGGCTCCGGCACCCCCCCCCCTTCTCGCTCCCCCAGCCTGGGGCTAGAAGGGCTATCTGGTCTGATCTATTGTTTCCCTCCCTGGCAGGGGGTTCATTGTGTGATAAATAATTCCCCTTCCATTTTATTCTTTAAAAAAGGGGGGTATTTGCATAATCACTGCTTTGATGTGGCCAGAATTCGGAGGCTTGGTCTCCCCAAGTCTACTATTGGTAGCGAAGCAACAAAGCTCGATCCAGATCTTTCACTTCGCTAACAGTGTGTGGGGCAAATTGTCGGAACGGCAGCGTTAAGCTCCTTTTTTAAAGGATCCATTTTAATGATGAAACCTAAGGAATGTCAAAAAATGGGGGGTGAAAACCGAGGGTTCTCACCCCACTACTTCTCCCTCTCCTTTAGTGTTCATTGTTCTAGGCAGTTTTTCCCCAAAGCCTTTGGGGGGGTGTGTTGGGGGGATGCGCCTTCCTTAGGGCCGCCCCACGTGGCACGCAGTGGGCACCGGCAAGGTCTGCCCGGGTAGGGAGGAGCGAGGACTGCAGGAGGGGTTCTCTTGCACCCCCCCACCCCACTTCCACGGTTTTCTTTCCTCAGTTTGGTTTATCCAGCCTGGATGAGCTCCTCTTACGAAGGACGCTGAAGTGAGTTTGCTCTTTAGTCCCCGAATCGAATCCGAGGGGGTCTCCTGGGAACGCAACTTGGGGGCAGTTTCAGATGGTCCCCGATGAGAGAGAGGAGCAAAGAAATTCAGTCATCCGGAAAGCAGAACGGGAAAGCCAGTGCGGCCGAAGCTATTATTTCCTTGCAAGGTGGCGCTAGTTGGGA